GTAATACGCGAACGTGTGCGCGTACGCTTCGAAAAATTGCGCGCGTACAGATTACACGCGAGTGCGTACATGTACACGGTTCGTACACAATATAACTGATTAAAAAATAATGCAATTATTTTTATTCCCGTACTTTATATACGTACATCGCTAAAGAGAAAAAGCACATACAAGAGAGGGAGAGAAGAATTACTCGACTTTAACACATTTATAAAAGCTGCGTACATTTATCGGCAAATGAGCAAGTTCAGGTGGAGGAGGAGGAAGGGAGAAACATAGAGAGAGAGAGAGAGAGAGAGTCTGCGGCTGCTCATATTTATGGACCCCCTGCATACAGTACCATATAGCATAAGAGAGAGAAAGAGAGAATATATACGTATATAGATCTCAAAGTTGTCGGAGTCAAAGTCAACAAGCACCGCCGCGCCGTGGCGCAAGCTCGCTTCGATGAGTTCGCGTCCAAAATCGGATGTGCTGGGGAACGAACCGGATACTGGCTTTGCGGAATAGAGAGTGAGAGAGAGAGAGAGAGTAATGTTCCTTGCTACCAAGCCCTTCGTGTGCGCAATTGGTTTACGAACGACAGACATGAAAGAGAGCGAGAAAGCGAGTTTCCAGAGGCGCTATGCGTATTATGCAGCATATGTAATATCTACGTGTGTGTGTAGAGATAGATTTCCCGTGGCGTTGGCCACTTTCAAAAGCTGCGCGCATACATAGATCGATATAATGCATCCCCTATATAGATGCGCGATTAGTTTAACAAACTGATAATCGGCGTCGCGATTCGATATAGCCCGGCGACGGAGGCATACATGTATCTATGTCTCGTTGGCGCTTGGCGCGTTGAAAAATTACGTGGTGGTGGTAGCCCCGTCAACGATATGTAGGTATATTAAATGTATACATTATAAATCACGTGCGTGCCGTGTATGCATCGATTAATTTTTCTCTCTTTTTTTAAGTAAAACTTTGAAAGGTGTGTTTGATATGGGAGTATAGCTACACTGGAAGAAATAACCATAAAAACAACTTGAAAAATAACAATTTTAACTTTATGAAAAAATGTAGATCAATTTTCAACCTCGATACATACGAAAATATATCACTTTAAGTTCCCACCGTTAGATGGCGAGTACCTGTATCCATAAATCTACAAGTGATAAATGATTCATCAAAATTTTTTCTTTGACATAAAAATGTAAGCATTCTTACCAAGGTTAGAAATCAATAAATAGGTGTTTAAGAGCAGTTTGAAGCGAATCTAAATGAAGCAGTACGAAATTACAAAGTCTTTTTTTTTTTGGTTGAATTTTCTTTTCGGTCTTTTTTCTGGCTATGCTCGCGAGCTCAACTTATCGCCGCCCCCTCGTTCCCCGCCCGTCAAAAAGCTAGCGTGAACGAGCATACAGCAACAGCTTTTTTCGATATCGCGGGCATTAGTGCACCACGCGTACACACGCGTTATTTATAATATTTTATACTCCATAGCCGATACGACGTGCATCGCGCCGTCTTATATATAAAGTCCGTTTCTCACTAGCGAACGGCCATAAGATGCACGAGAGATGATTTATTACCTCTCAGCACTTTGTCAGCCAGCGGCGCGTGTGTAGTACATATACACGTGCGGACTGCAGCTATATGAAAAAAAAAAGAAAATGAAATGAAAAAAAAGTGGAGAGGCAAGGAAAAAAAACTCACACAGCACTGCACGCGTTGGTCGGGATAATATAATATAGAGCCTCGATGTACTAGCGTAGTGGTATATATAAAAGCTCCGAGCTTGCGCGCAGTACTGCACATGTGTAGCCATTGAATCTGCCGCGATTTCTCTCATTAATCATCGACTTTTAACTTAATCTAACTCGGTACACGCTTTTTAATTAATATAAGTCCTGTGTGGAGAGAAGTGAGAAAGGAAATGAAGCAGAGAGCAAGTTGTACCACACACATTTTTCTAATTTTTTTCTCAGCTGAAAAATTAAGCCGTTGTAATAATGTATTATACGCGCGTCGAAGGATAGATACATACACACTCACGTACACCTGACATCGACCTCGTGCAAATTCAAATTACATGCTGAGCTTCAACAGATATTCGAAATATCAAATTTCCAATGTTCTCTCGCGCTCAAGGAACGTTGAAGGAATGTCTGGGGCGTCTCCGACTTGTACTACTTGTGTATTATATACGGCGCATCGTAGCAGCAGCACAGCTGAAACTCGTATACAATTAAACGCGTCTTGTTACGCGTATATGTGTCTCTCTCGCATCGCTATATTGTCTCGAGGCTTTCACTCCCTTGTATCATTACATACATACTGTATCGCGAGCCGCAACGATTTAGCAAGCTCAACGCGTGAATCGCTTTGTATATTATAATACACAATTTAAAACTTTTGCACGTGCGTTCATTTGCGCGAAAAATAATGTTTCACGCGTATACTGACGTTAATAATCAGTTTTTCGAACGCTTCAAACGCGCGCGAGAGAGATTGTTTGCTCTTATAATTCGGCAGTTTTTCAGGCAAACGATCATAACAAAAGTTGCTGCTCGCGCTTTTGGACATTATTGTTCGGACTCGCTGGCGCGCATATAAGTTAGTTAAAAACGTATGAAATAAACTCGAGTATTTTCTCCGCACGCGCGCGCGAGCGGTTAGTTATATATGCTTAACGATTCGTGATTTTTCAGAGAGGTGTTTATAGGTGAGAGAAAACCATTATTATTATTATTGTTATTATTACGTATTCTTTGGTGAGAAAAATATAATAAATTTCCGGTGAAAAGCGCACTTTTGAATTTTAAATGAGCGCGCCTACTGTCGAGTGTTGTTGTTGTTGTTGTTGTTCGCGAGCCCTATATTTTCCCGAATTAACGAAATTCACCACCACCACAGCAACGAAAATTTGAACAACAACGAAAAAAAAACGTAAGTATGCGTACACTTTGCCGTGGGTAATTTTCAATTGTGTTGTACGCGCACATATATATATGAGGCATTTCATGCGAAGTGTCCTAACGCTTCGCCGCGCGGCCCAATTAAGCGAAATCACTCAGTTTCTAACTGACGTAAAAAGTATCAAAATATACTCAGAAAAAATAACTAACTAATGATTTCGATAGGAAATTTCCTCAGCTTTCCGATGGTGTGGTCAGATTTTCCGAAATTTTCCATTTTCCCCGGAAAAATTTGACATAAAGTTTAAAACGCAAATATCTCAAAAAGCCCATTTTAAAGATTTTTTTAAATAGTCCCAATCGAAAGCTGAGGAAATTTCCTAACTGTATGCAAGTTTTCAGAGTGTGCAATTGATTATTACTTAGTGAAACACAGCTGTGAACATCGGGCGCTCGGCCGCGCGGCGGTATGACGCCAGCCGCCGCGCCGTCAGCCATCGCGCGGCACCCACTGCCCTATTCTTGTGTATGACACGACTCTAATTTCTCTTTAAAAATTAAACAAATACATGATTTCGATGTATTTTTTTCTCAGCATTTCAATGCTGCGGTCAAATTTTCCAAAAATTTTCGTTAATTCCAAAAATCGTTTAATTTTCAACTCGCTGGAAAAGTACCTAAGTGCCCCTTGAAAAATAACTATCACTCTATTCCGATGGAAAATTGTCTCAGCTTTCCAATGGCGAGGTCAAATTTCCCGAAATTTTCCATTTTCACCGGGAAAATCGTCGAGAACTCTATAAAACTGACTATCTCAAAAACGACTGAATATTTTGAGTTAGAAAGTTTATGTCAAGTTTTTCCGGAGAAAATGAAAATTTTTGGAAAATTTGACCGCACCATTGAAATGCTGAGAAAAAAATACATCGAAATCATGTATTTGTTTAATTTTTAAAGAGAAATTAGAGTCGTGTCATACACAAGAATAGGGCAGTGGGTGCCGCGCGATGGCTGACGGCGCGGCGGCTGGCGTCATACCGCCGCGCGGCCGAGCGCCCGATGTTCACAGCTGTGTTTCACTAAGTAATAATCAATTGCACACTCTGAAAACTTGCATACAGTTAGGAAATTTCCTCAGCTTTCGATTGGGACTATTTAAAAAAATCTTAAAAATGGGCTTTTTGAGATATTTGCGTTTTAAACTTTATGTCAAATTTTTCCGGGGAAAATGGAAAATTTCGGAAAATCTGACCACACCATCGGAAAGCTGAGGAAATTTCCTATCGAAATCATTAGTTAGTTATTTTTTCTGAGTATATTTTGATACTTTTTACGTGAGTTAAAAACTGAGTGATTTCGCTTAATTGGGCCGCGCGGCGAAGCGCTAGGACACTTCGCATGAAATGCCTCATATTTTTCGACGATGAATACGTGTCGTGTACGTGGCGACGCGACGGGGGTGGTCTGAGAAAGGAATTGAAAAATACTAAGCCGATCCCCCTTTGGATTTCAATGGGCATATTTTTTTTCAAAAAGATCGAGACTTTCGAGTAAAGTTTAATGCAGCGCTCTTGAAACGAACGCGCGACTACGACGGCGACGACGACGACAGCGAAGAAAGATGAGAACTAGGTCAAGCGTATCGAAGAGCTTTCGATGCGTTTGTGTGTACGTCTCGCATTATGGACAAATATTGTGTACACTTGAAGCTATACTACATTTCAAATGAATACATATTTTATCCGATCCATTGAAATCAAGCTTCTCGATATTCTTTGCAAAGATTAAATGAATTCAAAAACTATTTTCCATTGCATTTTGTGTATAAGGGGTTGTATCTGTATCCTACGTATTATACGTATTTGCGCCTCGACTTTGGGGGTGGTGGCGATGGTGGCGGCGCATACCCGAAGCATCGCCATCACGTGCTCTAGCGGCTGTTCAACCCGGTAGGTAAGTACGGCAGTGACCCTCGACGCAGCAGCAGCTAGCTCACATGAAAGCTCAGCTGATAAGTCCTCGTATGCGTGCAAAACGTCTATACCGGTGTGCGAGAAAAAAAATACGCGAAACGTCATTGTTGTTACTTTGTACCTGAATCATTGAGGAGTGCCGACAGGCGAATCGAAAATTGTCGACCGATGTCGCCGACGATGGCCGCTCAGCAATGACAACGGAGGAGCTCGTTGCTGTGTTATTGGCCTGATGCCGCTTGCCGCTATCGCAGCAGCAGTCAGTGCTCTCGCTGCACATCCAATTCCAAGCAGCCGTCGACGGCCACTCGTGTGTGTGTGTGTGTGTCGCTTCTAAACACACGCGCGCAGACACTTTCACTTTTTTGCCTATTTATTATTTACTCGTCTATTTCTTTTTTTTTTCCATTCGCTGCGCGCACCGCACCACCGACTTAATAAGGGGGTTGTTGCGTACCGGACGAGACAGACAGCTGACGATGAGCTTTGTGTCGGTCGAGCGCCATATTTACCTGCGCGCGATGTGTGCTCAGCAGTAAGCGCAGCGGCAGCGCCGGGCGACGCGGGGGTGATCGCGAGCCGGGGGGCTGGACGATGACGCGCAAGCGCGAGCATTCAACGAACGAGAAAAAGAGAGAAAGAGAATAACTATACGTATTTGCTCGATGGGGGATCGATAATTATACCGGGCTTGCACAATTGGGAGTTTTATCGTCGCTATGTAAGCGCGTGTTCACGAAATCGTTAGCAATTCGGAAGGGCTTCAATTCGTATCTTTAATCATGTTTTTATTTTACAAATTTTACACGTGGAAACCTTAAATTTACGGGTTTGAAATTAAAAAAATTGTTAATACCTGCTACAATATGTATTCCATTAGAATTAATTAAATGAAGTAAAAATTTAATTGACGATCAACGCGCGTGCACGAATTTATCGTGAAAGCTTCCTCCATACATCTAACTTCCGGCTTTAGAAATCCCTCGTACAAAAGAATCCTATATTATTTCGACGAAATAACTCGATGCATGGTATCGACAATTCTCGCAAAAGCTTTGATAAATACAAATTGACCGATTGTTTTGCATGGTATAGCGCGGGTCAACGAAGCGCAGCAGCAGCGTGACACACAAATTCATTGCTCGTGTGAGGGGGTTAGATATTCAATCAAGCGAGAATGAATCGTTACTGTAAACGCTCTAAATTCCAGCTATAAAATATATTCTCCTCCATTTAACCCACGACGAAACGATTTCTTGATTTATACATACGAATTATTGGCTACTTTTACACAGCTCTACGTGTATATGTGTACGGATTGGGGGATAAAACCGCTTTGAACGAAACGAAAAATAAAACTGCGCTGCTGCTGCTCGATTTAATTGAAAAATTCATGATGTACAGCAGCTGGGAAGTTGTTCTCTCTCGTTTACATCGCACCACCAAGCGAGAGAGCTCGATTCCTTTTCAAGCGTCGCGATGAAATTATTGTAGAATATTAAATGTAAATACAACTCAATTATTAATTGATATTTTCCTCGGAACGATGTAAAATTGAAAATATATATTCAACCGCGCGGGAATAAAAGCGATCATCGAATGGTGAAAAAAATCAGATTGTTTACCATCGCACAAAATTGAAAATGAATCCGGCCTCGACATCAAAGGGCTTCTTCGTGCACTTTACAATTTGTACTTTATTTAAAATTTATTCAATAAATTGAATCTCTTATTAATATAGTAAAGCAATCAGAAGGCAACGGTATATCCGCCACGTAACAAGCTTTATAATACCGACGTCACAGCAGCATCGAGCCCTTCATCATCCGGTCTATCATTCGCTTCTCGTTCAGATGTCTCTCATGTAGTTCCTGCAAGCTCGGCTTCGGTTGCTCCGAACAACGACGACGATCCCCGCGATCGGTATCGACGGTTGCCTCGGCCGTGCAACGTCGCGTCACGAGCGAACTACGGCAACTATTGGGTCGTCGCGGTCGTTGCTGCAGTCGTGCGGGTGCGGGCTTCGATTCATCGCAGTTTGATACTGCTGCTGCCATGATGGATGACACCTGCTGCTGCCGCTTGATTACATCGATGCAATGTAGCCTCGACTCTCTCATTTACCACGTGACTGCGCGCCACCACCAGCGCTGATACTACTACTACTGCCTCCCGCTGCCTTTTTAGCGGTCTACCGCGTATATAGGGGCGAGTTTCTCTATATATTCCAGTGTTTGTATCGAAACGAGGCTCGATCGATTGCTTGCGCGTGTATAATGTATATGCGTACGTAAAGCAACGTAATAACAAAAAAGAGTAAAGGAGAAAATAAAAAGGAAGCAGTAGCAGCAGCAGCAGCGGTAGTAAAAAATGAATCAAAGTGATTCCAAGTCGCTCGCGCGCAAAAGAGCTTTCCGCGCGCTCACAGTACCGAAAGAGAGAGAGAGAGAGAGAGAGAGAGAATGGGAAAAAAAGGAAACTGGACGGAAGCGAATCAGCTTTGTGAATCGCGGAAAAATCGAGAGGAGCGTACACGTTTATGTCGCGTGGAAAAGAGAGAGATTCTTTCTTTCCCCGCGAAATATAAAAGAGAGTGAGACAGAAAGAAAAGGTGATGGTACATAAGGTAAGCGAGAAATCATATACGAAATGACTAGCTCGAATGCAGTTGGATACCTTTGAGAAGACATCAACCAGGCCGGTAGCGTTGAGGGCTCGAACTCTCGTTGCTGGGCTTGGTGCTGCTGTGTCGGAATTTCGCTCTTTACTTATTTGCGCGCGCCATTTCCATCTTGCCAACTCGTCGTCGTTGCAGTTGTCGTCGTCACCTTCGTCTCTACTTTTTCTTATGGCTTTCAGCGGCTGCAATGAAATATCAGAGAGCTACAGTTTTTATATTTTCATATGCTCCGGAAAAGTGTGAGAGACACCACGACGATACGACAGCGGAATACGATCGACTTCGAAAAGGCGTTTCGAAGCGCATCGTCATTAAAAAGCAAAAATAGTACATAATTACAATCGATAGACTCGAGTTCTCGACCGGTTCGTTACACGAATATCGAACGAACGTGTGTAATCTTCTACTGATTTATTATGTCCCCCTGCCAGTGTCGATGGGAACTAATTTCATCCGATCGCGCGGCCATATTATAAATTGAAAAAAGCGCGCAGACTAATATATACGCGCTCGATTGGCGTGTGTGAATGAGCCATTAAAAATTAATTACGACGCTCGCTTTCGAGATATAAGCGAAAACGCTCCGACTGCGCGACGTACAGAAGTGAGCTTTGCATCTATTTTTATATCATGTAAAGGTACAGTGAAACGTTTATATAAAAAATGTATCATTATTATCAAATTTTTAGGGAGAATCAAATTAAATTTGAATAAATATTTCATATAAATTATATAGGGTACTTATACCAGTGATTGACCGCTTTCGACCAGTAAATGACCACTTTTGGATGTGCAATAATTATCGTTTTTCCTTATTAAATTATGATCAAACATAGAAAACAAGATGCATCGTTCACTAAAAAATTGAATTACGTCCATAGAAATATATTTTTAATTGTTTTTCATATGATATTTTCTAAAATGGTCATTCACTGGTACCCGGTCATTGATTGGTCTGACTACCCTACTGCTATTTTTACTTGGACACTTGCAGATTTCTACATATAAAGGTACTCGCCATCTAGCGTTGGAAACTCAAAGCGGAATTATCGTATCAAAAACGTTTCATATAAGAAATTATATTTTCATATCGACTGTAATGATGTTTGTACGTGCGCAATACTTTTTAGTTTATGATGTAGTTTTGGTGGGCGTCGAAGATTCATTGAGAAATCTTAATTTTAATTTTTTTGAAACGTATTATCATTAGTCTAACTAACGGAGAGCATGAGTGTTGTTTTAATACCATTTCGGGCGTGACTGACGTATTCATGCTTTATCGTTGCTTTTATACATTGTAGAAAAATGTTATCACTAAAAATTTTAAAAAAGAGGTATATATTACGCGTAGTTTTTGCATTTTAAATCAGTTACCCGCAATCAATAGTTATTCGTATTCATATTCTTAAACAAAAGTGAGAAGAATGAAAGTTGTACTTTTCGCTGCATTAGCTGTTTGCGCTATAAGCGTAACGCAAGGTAACGTACATTTGTGACATAATTTCACGCTTACTAATAATTCTCAATTCGAAATATTTTAAAAATCAGGAACTCAATTTCTATCGCAATGTAACGACGGAGAGGCGCAGGACGCGTGCGCGGCAAGAGTCGCAGCTCAATTTCAAAACCAATGTGTCCAAGTCATCCCCGGCGATGCGGTCTCCGTATTGACGTAAGTAAAATAATAGCCACTTCATTCTTTTGAATGAGAAATGGATCATAATTTTTTTTTTTTTTTTCATAGATGCGATACTGCAAATTGTGGAGAAAATACGAAATTGGTCGAAGGAGATAAAACCAAACCTTATCCCAGTTGTTGCCCAACTTGTGCTATCGTCGACCCAAGCAAACCGGCACAATCCACAATAGTTGGTTAATTTATTCGAGTAGAAAATTAATCTCTTTCTTTTCAAAGGAAACGAATCGTCATGATTGGAAAATAAATAATTTTAAAAAATGCATACTTTGATTATTTTTTCCTTGAATTAGCTATTTTCTACCACATTAAAATCAACTAATTTGATAACTACTCCACGCGCTAATTTGTATAACAAATGTCATACATTTTATGAAACACTATTAATTAAAAAAGTTATGTTTATAACTATTACACGCAGAGTGTCGCGTTACAGTGACGCTCATGCAATCAATTTTATCTGAAAGTTTCACAGCCTTCTACAAGATATAGATGAAAAATTAGTAAAGCTTTAAACTTTCAGTTATTAATATGAACAATGAAGGATGTAGTGATATAACTACGAGAAGAGAGAGAGAGAGAGAGAGGGAGATAGAAAAAACCCGAACGAGCGAGTGAGTTATTATTTTTGTATAGTCATGAAAGTAACATATCGAGTCTTGAGACGTGCGGCACTCGTGCTTCGTCGTGCAAGGCTAAGGCCATCACGTACAACGTGAGCATTCCACTCCCAATATACATTTCGGAGCTCAGCCGATGTATAATTGAATTGAGTTATACACGTAAACATTTATGTCAAAAAAGTGCTAACAATGTGACGATGTTGTACTGTATCACACGAATATTGATGTTTCCGCTGACTGAAATATAAGCTGTGAGAAGGTTGACCTCGCGTGTGTAGGTGCGATGTCAAAATTATTGAGCGCATTTTAAATTACCTGAAAATTACTACTAAATTGTTTCCAACGATTTAGACCACAATTCGATTGTTATACGATAATACCATTTTAAGCCTTCACCGCTAGATAGCGAGCACACTGTTTCTATTAATCTGCAAGTGTCAAAGTAAAGCTATTCGTATAAATCAAATCACAATTATTAATTTAATTGCAACGGTTGGTACTTGAGTGTCCTCTGAGAGTATGTAAATGTCAATGTAAAGAAAAGTGAACTACTTCTGTTATAATCGATTGAGCTACACTGGACAACGACGAAGACTAAAGGTGCTTATTCGATATTAGAATATAAATTATAACCTCACTCATCGTATTTAAATAGTATTTTCCCGAAAACATGTAATACATTACATGAGGCGCAAAATATATTGAAAAATTTTCATTTTTGGTTAGTAAATGTTGTTTTTGAGACCATTACAAGACCAAGAAAATTTATCATTGGTCAAAACTATGTATAAAATAATGACTATTTCTACTAGGAGTAAAATTAGGCATTAAAATTAACCGATACTGAATTCTATTCTATCGACTTTTACATAAAATCTTCGTTGAAAAAGAATGCACAGATCTGGTTTATTTATTATTATTTTTTTTTTTTTTTTACACAAACTGCACAAAAATGCATGAAAAAGATCGTTAGTTTTACAACAAAAATGAAAAAAAATACTTGATTCTACACTTCAAGTAAAGCATTCTGATTCAAAATTAAAGTTTTAATACTGATTCATTTTTTGCGTAAATTGCTTCAAAAATATATGAAAATTCAATCATAATTGAAACCAGTCTCCAACACTATATGGCGAGTAGCTTCATCTGTAAATCTGCAAGTAGAAACGTAAAAGTGTTTGTATAAAGCAAACTTGGATTCATGCAAGGTACAATGCTCATGAGCTGCATGTATTCGGCCCTCACAAGTGTAAGAAACAAAGTGGATGCACGCGCGTGTATGCGTGTTCTCGCGGGTGTGCATTACCCACAAAAAAAAACTCGTTCCAGACCGACGACTCGGAAGACGATTGGATCGGGGCGTGAGAGCAGAGAGCTGAGAGAGAGAGAGAGAGTAGAGCAGAGCTTTTTGCCTCTCCAAGAAAAACTAATTATGTTTTTCTTGTACCTCATGACTTTCTTATGTAACTTGGGTGGTTCGTTGATTTTGCTTAAAAAAACAGTTGGCCTGGCTACTGCTGCTGCTGCTGCTACTGATCTTGCGCTGCACGTAATTGGTGCGCGCTCTTAATTGCTGTTTGCTTTTGTTTATAGTGGAGTAAAAAAAAATTATATGAACAACAACTATACTTGAAGTGGCTTGGCAATTAATTTGTATAAAAATACTCCATTAAAAATTTTCTGCTCCTCTCATTCGAGCGCTGACAAAATGTAGATGGGTTAATCCGCGTAAAGGGTGTTATGGCAGAAATTAAAATTGAAACTGAATTAGCACTCTTAGATAGTGTATTAAAAAATAAAAATGTCCAACATTTTAATTCTGTAGAGGTTCAAAGCTGAATGTTCAACTTATTATTTTTATTCTCCTTTTCTGGGGTGAGTATGTTAAAATATTAAATCAGTTTCAAATATTTAAAATTTCAATAAGAAATAGAACTTGTTTTCAAAAATCATGCTTATAATAACCTAGTAAAACGATTGAAAATCTAACTTATATAGTAGAAAAGTCTATGAATAAAGTTGTGGATATCATTCGACTAGACCATCATTACAATATTCTTTTTGAAGAACATCAGTTGACCATTTAAAACATTTTGCCAGCCGACCAAGAATGGAAAAATATAGATTTCGTCGTATTTCCATAAATTTTTGGCGGCCAAAATCTGTCTAATGATTTTTCCCTAAATCTATTTTTTGAAATATCACGCCTCGACGTGGAATAGCCCATATATATATCATATATAGGCTAACCGATTCGATACACGATTCACTGCGTTTATTTTTGCCGCGCTTTACGGCAACAACAATGTGTTTTACACATTCGTGTACATACGCGTTCCACCGCGGCTCGGGGGTTTGGGCTCTCTATTACCTGTCAGCTACATTAACGAGTGTGTATATGGCTATGTGAGTGTGTGGGTATAACGCGAGAGAGAGAGAGAGAGAGAGAGAGAGAGAGCTTGCGTTCGCCGGTTCATATAAGAGCAGCAACGACGAGTGCGTATTATGTCTATATATATTGCCGGGTTGATCCGCAAATAAACAATCGAGGGTATAGTTGCTACTAACTGGCTGTACTCGTGGGACTGCCTTGAATTAACAGAGCAGAACAAAAAGCCACTTCTAGATCGTTTCCACTGTTATATCGCCGTTGTAAAGGAAACAAAGAAAATAAACGAGCGAGAGGCGAGTGCAGCGAGCTGCTGCTAGCTGCTACTGTTGCTACTTTCGTATAAGGGAAAAGAAGGGGGTAGGAGGAGTGGTGTAGCAGCAGTAGCACCCGGGCGCCGCCAGTTTTTCGCACTCGATAAATCGACGACGAGTCTTTGCACTCTTTTCGCCTATGCGGCTCTTATAACTGCTTTTTTAATTGCCAATTAACTTTATATATGGGTCAAAATAATACTTTTTTACAAAACCGTGCGCACGTATGTCACCGATCTTGACGCGCTTTTGGTATGTTATAGTACATGGTAAAAAGGTCCCAAAAAAAAATTTTTAGACCCCCTCCCCCCTCCTACCCCCCACTTCCGGTATAAACGTCCATTTTCGATCTATATTTTTTCTGAGGACATGAAGCAAGTAAAAAATCTGAAAAAATTCATAAAAATACTTTTCCACAATCCAAACAACCTTGAATTTTTTCAGATTTTTTGAGTGCTTCAGGCCTTCAGATAAAATCATTGAAAATTTCAAAAATCGAGATACGGCGGTATGAGCCGATGTAGTACTCGGAAATTTTTTCAGTTATTTTTCGCATTAAAAAACATAACCTCAATTTTTTTCAGATTTTTTCAGATTACCTAACGCACCTTTTGAAGCCAAAAACCGATTTTTTTGACGAAAATAATTTTTTTAGGACAGTACGGAGCCTCGAAAAATCTGAAAAAAATTTTTTCTTGTTTTTTTCATCAAAATACGTAATCTCAAATTTTTTCAGATTTTTTAATTGAAGGCGATAGCTTCTAGGGCCGAAAAATGCTATTTTTAACAAAAAATGGTTCCTAGAACCCGATGGTTCCGGTGAAAAAATTTGAAAATATTTTTTTTGAATTCCTTGTCAAATTTTAATAAATTTTGACCGTTTCAAAAGTTCGATTGAAGCTTCCTAGCTCATTTTAGAGCAGGACAAAGATTAGTGCAAAATATCTGAAGACGTTTCTGAAGACATTAAGGAATGATAAAACTCGTTTGATGCTCTAAAATGAGCTAGGAAGCTTCAATCGAACTTTTGAAACGGTCAAAATTTATTAAAATTTGACAAGGAATTCAAAAAAAATATTTTCAAATTTTTTCACCGGAACCATCGGGTTCTAGGAACCATTTTTTGTTAAAAATAGCATTTTTCGGCCCTAGAAGCTATCGCCTTCAATTAAAAAATCTGAAAAAATTTGAGATTACGTATTTTGATGAAAAAAACAAGAAAAAATTTTTTTCAGATTTTTCGAGGCTCCGTACTGTCCTAAAAAAATTATTTTCGTCAAAAAAATCGGTTTTTGGCTTCAAAAGGTGCGTTAGGTAATCTGAAAAAATCTGAAAAAAATTGAGGTTATGTTTTTTAATGCGAAAAATAACTGAAAAAATTTCCGAGTACTACATCGGCTCATACCGCCGTATCTCGATTTTTGAAATTTTCAATAATTTTTTCTGAAGGCCTGAAGCACTCAAAAAATCTGAAAAAATTCAAGGTTGTTTGGATTGTGGAAAAGTATTTTTATGAATTTTTTCAGATTTTTTACTTGCTTCATGTCCTCAGAAAAAATATAGATCGAAAATGGACGTTTATACCGGAAGTGGGGGGTAGGAGGGGGGAGGGGGTCTAAAAATTTTTTTTTGGGACCTTTTTACCATGTACTATAACATACCAAAAGCGCGTCAAGATCGGTGACATACGTGCGCACGGTTTTGTAAAAAAGTATTATTTTGACCCATATGTATATCTATATGTACGAGCGAACGAGATATCTCGCTGCTGCTGATGCACCCCCCGCAGCTTCCAATGCGCGCGACTATATCTTTCTCTCCTTCTTCCAAGATGATACCAATTTATGCGCTTTGGTAATAATACTTTTTGAAAACAAAGCAAAAATAAATCGAGAGAGAGCTTATTTACGCTTAATATACATTTAAGCCGGTTTACTCA